CAAACATTGGAACAGGCTGCCCAGGGAAGTGGTGGAGTCACCATCCCTGGAGGTGCTCAAGAAACGTGTAGATGTAGCACTCGAGGACATGGTTTATTGGGCATGGTGGTGATGAGCTGATGGTTGGACTGGATGATCTGAGAGGACTTTTCCAACCTTAACGATCCTGTGACTCTGTGCGATTTAAGATGCTGATGAGCTGCTTCAACAAGGCGGAGCAGATAACAGAGTCGCTGGTTTCCGGGGAAGGACAGCGGTGGGGCGGCACCTCCACCCTGTCCTGCCCCTGTCCCAACCCCTGTCCGCCCTCAGGGGCGTCCCGGGATCCCCGGCAAGGTGGGATAGGGTGGGTGGCGCACTGCCACAGCCACCAGGAAAGCACCTCGCTCCTGCCTCCTCTCATAGAATCGTTTAAGTAGGAAAAGACCTGTAAGATCATCCAGGGGAAGGACAGCGGTGGGGCGGCACCTCCACCCTGTCCTGCCCCTGTCCCAACCCCTGTCCGCCCTCAGGGGCGTCCCGGGATCCCCGGCAAGGTGGGATAGGGTGGGTGGCGCACTGCCACAGCCACCAGGAAAGCACCTCGCTCCTGCCTCCTCTCATAGAATCGTTTAAGTAGGAAAAGACCTGTAAGATCATCCAGTCCAACCATTAAACCCACACTGACAAATCCAGCACTAAACCATGTCCCTGAGTGTCACATCTACACATCTTTCAAATCCCTCCAGGGATGGGGACTCCACCACTTCTAAGCCCAAAGCCCCCCCGTGCCTGCTGCCCTGCTTTGTATGCCTCACACCAGCGCTGCGGTGGATGTTTGCGGTGAAGGGGGACAGAGAGGGGTTAACTTTGCTGGCACAAGTCAGAGGAACAACGTGGGACTCAAAAATCACACCGCTAATGTTTCCCCGCACAATCCACGTGTTAATCTGGTGAGAAAAAGAAAAAATACACTGGGAATTGTCATCGCTGCAGTTGCTTTGGCAGATGAGCACCTCTGACCCCGCTCTGAAAGCTGCATCTGCAGCACCTTGGCAGAAGAAACAAGGCACAGAGGTCCACAGTCCTCAGCTGGAAGAGCTCTGCAAGGTCATGCCCTTCACAAAACCATCCCCATGAAGCACAGGGTGGAGCAACACAACATCCCTCCCCATGCACACATGCTCCTGGGGACAAGGCAGAACAGCCCCCAGCACCACATTTAGGGGTATCAGCCCAAGGTTACTGGAAGCCCATCCCAGCTCCCCCCCATACGCACCATGGCGGTCAGGCACTGCGATTCCCGCACCGTGGCGGCGGAGCTCAGCAGGGCTGCCAGGATCAGGGTCATGCTGAGGCAAATCCCAAAGTAGAAAGCTGGAAGGAAGTCGAATATGGGAGCTGCAGTCAGATACCAAGGCTGTAGGGCTAACAGAGCGCTGCTCTGATGTTTTTTCCCCAGAGAGGGGTCAAAAAGTGCTTTTTCGGGAGCTGGACCAAGAGGACCACGTTGCAGAACTGAAATTGGTTTATAATTTATTCAATACCCCCCCATCCATGCATGCTCTGCTTGTCTGGCAGGGCTGTAAACCTCAGAGCAGTTCCCACAGCTCTAGCAGAGCAAAGCACCCTAAAAGGGTGTCAACCCACCCGACAGACCACAAGCTGTCAATTATTTCAGTACCCCGATAAGGATCCCCCTGAACAGGGAGGGGGCTGACACCAGCAGCTCTCCCACGGCTGCTATCAGGACTTTGTGTGCTGCTAATCTGGGGCAACACTCACCCTCTGGTTTCCTCCTGGCTAAGGGAGGGTCAGAGCTGGTACCCTGGGGCAGGACTCGGGGACCACAGCCCTACAAAGAGCTTTGCAACCCTCACTCAGGGCCAACAGAGCAAAGCGAGGGGAAGCGTTGCTGGAGAGGGGTGGTGTGGACGGGAGAACCTGCACAGCTGCATCAAGTGCCAATCCAGCACCCCTGGTGTGGGTAGGAAAGGGAACCCTCACCTAAGGCTGTGCCTTGGCTTTGGACTAACAGAGTTTTTTACACCTGCCCTTGTTAAACTGACATTGAGAACCGGGATCTATAGGGGGTATCAGCATGTTTGAGCCCAGAGTATAACTGGGAGAAGAAGCAGATGCAAGTGCAGCAGAGGTGAGCAGAGGATTGTAGTAGCTGGGCTGTTCCCATCTCTCTGCT